ATGATCACGTGCCAGATAATGAGCCTGCACCAGAACCAGCTCCACAAGAGGATCAAGTGCCTCCATATTTTTGTTCGTTTTTGGAGACATTTGATCTACGGTATGCTTCCATCGAATCCCACTTGACTGCTACTCACGAAGCAATAAATCATCGCTTAGACACTTTGGAATCTCGACATATGGAGTTTCAAAGAGAGACGCTTGCACGTATGGATGCTCTTTCTCTTGATATGCAAGCACGATTTCCTCCTCCTCCTCTCGATCCTTCTATGGGCGAGTAGACTTTGTTTTGTTTTAGATCAATGTAGAACTTTAATTGTTAAAACATTTTGAATGCTTTGGGATTGTTTTCTTTAGTTTGACGTTTGTTTGGATTTATATGCTTGGATATTTAAGCTTATTATATATTTGGTTTGGTTTTAACGTTCAATTTGAGCTTAATGTTTATTAATTTTGCATCATTAGACATATTTGACCAATTATCCATTACTTGTTTATGAATATTGATTATGAAACTAATGGCTAATCTCTCTTTTAATTGTGATCTTAGCAACTTAACCTTATTTACTTATAATTAATTGGCTATTTTTTTTAAAACCTTGTTTAAAACATTTTAGAGTCTTTTTGATTTAACAAAAGGGGGAGAAGTGTAAAAGTGTTAAATGGGAGAAGTTGTAGAGTAAGGGGGAGTAATTTTCATAATTTAATTTTTTAAACTTTATTTTCAAAGAAAATCTTAAAATTACACAAATGTTTTGTTATATCAAAAAGGGGGAGATTGTTGAAACATTTTGATGTTTCGATATAACAAATTAAGTATAAATGAATTTTAAGATTTTACAAATGATTTTCTAAGTATATTCGATTTAATTACTCGAATATCAAATTATTACTCCAAGTCTTTCAAGATCAATTTAAAACCTTACTAAATGTGCAAAATTGTGTTTTATACTTAATATATTTTTTAAACAATTTTCACAAAGTATTTTGAACCAAAATCAAGCCTAAAATCAATTTTTCAAAGTGATGTATCGATGCACCAATCCATGCATCGATGCACCATGGAATAAATTGAACATTGAATGCATTTTATGCATCGATGCACTCAGGGTTTTATGAAAACATCGAATGCATTTGATGCATCAATGCACCAGCCATACATCGATGCACTCAGGCTATTTTGAAAATCGAATGCATTTTATGCATCGATGCACACTTTGTGCACCGATGCACTAAGTGGTCCAACGGTCAAAATATTTGAATTTTACACTTGATGCACCGATGCACCTTGGGTATGCATCGATGCACTGACGCTCCCAACTGGTTTTATTAATTGTTTTCATACTTAAACGGCTCTATTGACTCCACTAATCATCCCCAATATTCAGAATCAATTGAAGGAGTATTTAAACAAGCTTAGAAGTCATTAATCAACAATAAGAAAACAACAAGCAACTAAAACAAGAGAGAATCAAAGAGAAAGCATCAAACTCATTGTTTGAGCAATTCAAGCCTATTTTTCATTCAATATTCATTTTGCTTTCAAGAACACTACTTGTACTCAATTGTATTCATTTTTTGAGTGTTCTTTTCTTTGTTCTAGAATTGTGCAAACATATTGCCTTGTGAGGTTTTCCTTTAAGTTTGCAAATTTGTAAATTTGTGTATTTCTCTTTGAAAAAGAGTGTGCTCAAGAATGGGGTATAATTCTTGAGGGAGTTGTAAGGTTACTCTTTGGCCTCAAAAGAAAGAACAAATTAGTGAATTTGTTGGAAAATCTTAGTGTGGATAGCTAAGGTAGTGGACGTAAACTTTGATTGAGAAAGTCGAACCACTCTAAATCGTTGTGCAACTTCTTTCAATTTTCTATAAAAGCTTCCACCAACTTTTTAATTGCCAATTCACCCCCCTCTTAGCCGATTCCATCAATCGATTAACTCAACAGCCTTATTTTAGGAGGTGTGTTCCCTATGTGCCACCGATTGTTTTATCTGATTTGATATATGTTTCACTAAAATTTACAATTCAATGATGATGGCTCGTGAACTATGATGATTGATGCATAATATTTGAATGATTATTTTCACTAGACGATATGATTTTGATGAATATGGATCATGGAATTTTTGCTTGTAACGTGAAATGTTTTATGGGATATTATCATGAATTGTTTTCATATACTTGTGGATAGACACCCGAATCAGTCACTCGGAGATCGACACATTATTGAAGAAATTTTTGTTGTAATGTTTCTATATTCTGAATTTCTTTTAATTATGTTACATGGGCCTTTATTTTGATGTACTCATTTTATGACGATGATGTTTATGGATTTTTCGACTGATTCTTGGTTTATCGTACTTCAGGTTTATGACATATTTTGTTTAATGTAATCGTTTTTAGTTTTATATTTACGAGTTAAACTTTTATCGTTATTTATTATACTTTTATAAATGTCATTTGTAATATAGTTTTAAATTATCAAATAATGTTTTTGGAAAAATGTTTTAAGAATTTTTAATGTAATTCACTAGACTTAGTCGAAACGCATAGGGTGGGTCTATGAGGTTACACCCAAAATCAAACCTCCTAAATCCATAATTGTCGTTACCCTTCCACCGCAATTTCTCACCGTCCGACCACCTTTGGAACGCACTACCACTCCCATCATGATCTCCGCCTTGCTCGGACCAAAACTTCTCCAACCCTACTCCAGATTTCGCCGTGGGGGAGCTCATTAAGGAACCGTCGAAAAACCCACCCCGTCGCTTGATTTTTCCTCGATTCCAACCATTCAAGGCATTGGTTCGCCTCACCGCTACCACCACTGAACTCCCCACCTCCATGCGCTTAAAACCCAATCGGCGGGTCACGTCGACATCGCCGATTTTGTCCATTTGTCGTTGGGGTAATCATTTCAGCCTTTTGTTTTTGGTTCTGATGATTTTAACTTGTTTTGAGCATTGATATAGCTTGTATTGATGTTTTTGTGATCTAGGAGTGCTCGACTGTCGCTTCTGACCCCGTCGCCACCGTCACACTTCGTCACGCGCTACAGCGTGTGCATGGGGCTTCTCCCCGATCTTAGAACATCCTTGAACTGGTCTGAGTCAACTCGACCAAATTGAGTCAACCCGAAATGGCCTAAGTCAACCCGAATCGACCTGAGTAAACTCATACCAAATTGAGTCAACCCGAACCAAACTTAGTCAACCTGAATCGGTCTACCCGTTGACTTTGACTTTGACCAAAAAGTCAATTTTTATGTTTTTTAATGTCCTGAGTCTGAATCCGAAGTCCGTTTTACCAAATTCTAATCCAAAAGCCTCCAAATTAACCGTAAACTCGAACATGCATAAGCCATTTAATTAAGTTCACAAGGTAAATAATGATTACTTTATGATGTCATTAATTAGGGTACCTATGATTCTCCCGACCGTTTGTCTCCTCAACCTGGTTTCTCCGGACCGCTCGTCTGCGAGAGCCCGTGATTACTCGTATAGTTCTATAACCCTGTTAGATACTCAATTTAGTGTATTACTCTGATAATAATTTTGTTCTAATATGACTTAGGTTCTCGTACAGTCGAAAACCATAGTGAAGTTGGTGCTCGATAAATCTATCGGACTGATTCTTTCTACGAGGTGTGTTCCTTGTGTGTCATATATATGTTTTAAATACATGTTTGAAATATCATGTGCACATGACTGTTTTACCTGATTTGCAATATGGCTAGCTGATCTAATTAATTTCGCATGATTTATCTATTTTAAGCCTAATTTCTAATTTACTGAAGTTTTAAGTATGCTTGTCTGATTCATGTTCTCTAGTTACTTCTTTTATTGAATTGGTATATGTCTGAACTTTTTTTCCTGCTACTACTGTTTACTGTTTGAAAACTATTCTCTTCGGGGTACTCTGGGATATGGTATGAAGTCTCTGTAGGTTTATCACCGATCAAGCTGGTAATTCCTTATAGACCTAAGGCGACCCCCTGGGTAGGTTTCTAGGCCCAATGGGCTTAGTGGAAAGGCCTTATGGACCCTAAGGTACTCCTTTAGGGTGGCTCCTCTGCTATGTGCATTGGGTAAGTCCTTATGAGTCTGAGAGCACACCCTTCATGTGGGCACCTACGCTTCGACTAGGATAAGACCTTATGGATCCAAGGTGCTCCCTTAGGTAGGCACCTACGCCCTTTGGGTCTAGGGTAAGTCCTTATGGAAGTAGTTCTGGGGAACTACATATGGTGTACGATTGGAGGGTTATTCTATATTTTAAACTACAATTCTATTGTCGTTTTGATAACTTTGATAATGAACTGATTTTGAAACTTAATTGTATGTTTTTATTTTGCACTACTAGAACACACTGAGCTCCCTAGCTCACTCCCCAAACTTCTCTATTTCAGATACTATTTGATAGGCGACTCGAACCTGGTACTTGAGGATCACACATTCGTATAATATTATTTTATTGTAATATTTTTATCTTTCGATTTGTCATTATGATGGGTGACATGTGCCTATTTATTTTGAAATACTTGTCTTGCGACGTATATTGCTTTTGCGACTGATGTTAGAATTACATCGATACTGATTTGTGAAAGATTTTGTTTTACTCAGACATTTATAGTTTTATATATATTATTCGAATTAGAACTTATTATTAATAATTATGTTTTTAAAGTTGTTTATTCATAATATGAATTTAAATTATTGAAAACTATTTTGAAAAATTTACTGTATTTCACTAGATATGGTCGTAATGCATAAGTCGGGTCTATGGGTTACATATTCACTCAAACCTTAACAATCAAGATAAAGTATTATCTTTTTAATTAAAATTTGCGTAAATAATAGGTTTTGAATATAATTTCGTAAATAATCTAAAAAAAAGTTATACTATTTAGGTAAAAAGGCTAAAGAATGCCTCCCTGGTTTGGATGTTTCGCTAGTCTGAAAAGACTTACATAACTATGGAAGATGTTCACTGTTGTCTACGGCAATCAAATTTGCTTCAATCTATAACGACCTTTGTACAAGTGTAACAGTGAGGTAAACTATAATAATGAAAAGAAAAAGGAAACGTTAATATGTTGCCATTTGAAAATCTCTTATACCTCTCTAAATTTACAGTAAGGAGAGAAACTGTCTTCGTCTGAACTGGAATCGTCCACCCGCTGACTAGTAATTGCTGGAAACAATTGTTTACGAATATCTGGGGGCGGTGGTTGACGCTCTGAAGATGATTGTTGTGGGTTCTGTCGAGAAGCTGATGCTAATGAACCTTCATTTTTGGAATCCTTGTCTTGCTGAAATTCCAAAGACGATTGTTGTTGGTTCACTTGAGAAGCCTGTGCTGATGAACCTTCATTATTGGAATCCTGGTCTTGCTGATGCTCCAAAGATGATGATTGTTGGTTCTCTTGAGAAGCTGTCACTGATGAACCTTCATCTCTGGAATCCTTGTCTTGCTGACACACCAAAGAAGACTGTTGTTGGTTCTTCTCTTGAGAAGCTGACGCTGATGAACCTTCTTCTCTGGAAACCTTGTCTTGCTGACGTTCCGAAGATGATTGATGTTGGTTTTCTTGAGAAGCTGGCGCTGATGAACCTTCACCTTTGGAATACTTGTCTTGCTGACGCTCCAAAGAAGATTGTTGTTGGTTCTCTTGAGAAGCCGGCATGATGAACCTTCACTTTTAGAATCCTTGTCTTGCTGACGCTCCAAAGAAGATTGTTGTTGGTTCTCTTGAGAAGCTGGCGCTGACGAACCTTCAACTTTGGAATCCTTGTCTTGCTGACGCTCCGAAAAAGATTGTTGTTGGTTCTCTTGAGAAGCTGGCGCTGATGAACCTTCATTTTTTGAATCCTTGTCTCGCTGACACTCCGAAGAAGATTGTTGTCGGTTATGTTGAGAAGTTGGCGCTGATGAACCTTCATTTTTGGAATCCTTGTCTTGCTGACACTCCGAAGAAGATTTTTGTCGGTTATGTTGAGCAGCTGACGCTGATGAACTTTCATTTTTGAAATCCTTGTCTTGCTGACACTCTAAAGAAGATTGTTGTCGGTTATGTTGAGAAGTTGGCGCTGATGAACCTTCTTTTTTGGAATCCTTGTCTTGCTGACCCTCCAAAGAAGATTGCTTTCTCTTATGTTGAGAAGTTGGCGCTGATGAACCTTCGTTTTTGGAATCCTTGGCTCGCTGGGCTTGCTGCTTAGCTCTGGTGTCTCTAATTTCTTTACAAACCTTTTCTAACATTGTCAAGAAATCTCGCACAATCGCAAACAAACGCAAGCCTTCCTTCGTTCCTGCCTGACCATGAAAATAATCCGCTGTGCTCTTGATGAGCTCCATTATGCTTTTTTCTTCCCCTGATAGCCCTTGAATATCAGCTTCTGCAGCGTCAGTGAAACAAGTTATCGAATGATAAAATTGAGTGGCCTCACTATCGGTATCCTTCATATCCATATTCAAAAAATCTTTAGTTTTTTTCAAAGTAAAATCGAGTTTTGTCACAGTAGATGTCAGGGCATCAGTATCAATCACAGCAGCCTTCCTAACAACTTCAAGTTCACTGGTTAGACTTGAAACCACTTCAAGACCAAAACTGCGGTAATTTTCCTCCTGGTCTTGGTCATCACATTCAGTGAAGTCCACTTCCTTGAAATGGCCAACGCTCTCGCCCCGGCTTGATGATTGTGAGCGAACACATCTTATACCCTCATAACGTATGATCTCCTGAACTACAAAGTGCAGAAGTGTCGTCTTACCATCCGTTCCCTTTACATCAGATAGTTTCAAGAGTGTGTCAAGCTTGAATGCCTGTGCACCACCACGGTAGGTACCATCATTCATGCGGTTACCGGTTTTAAGCACTGCTTCTAGAAGCTTCATGAACAATCTGCTATCTTTTAGCTTCGAGCAAGCTACCTGCCATTAAGACAATAATCACAACCATCAGGTTACTTATCTAATGAAGTAATAGAGGTTTTCATATAGGAACTATATTCATGAAGATAAATTCCTAGAAAATATGTTTTACGGTTAAATTCTGTGGCCTCCGGTTTATTGAGAAGCAGAAGACTCCATCGGCCAAAACATATATAAAAAGAACTATGATAATTATTACTATTTTCTTTTCTTTCCTCCTATTGAGTTCTTAAATCTATCATTTCACCTCAAGAGTTGCAAAGGATTCTTTAATGCCAGCAACTTCCTCCGAAAAAGTGCTCATGAACAACAAGGCATCAATCCGTTTGAAGGCAAAAGGTATTTCAACCACGGTTTTAAGGAACCTCTCTGCAGGGCCCAATTGATTAATATCCCCTGCGAATAATCTAAGCTTCAGCTCCTCATCTTGTGTTGGTGTCATCTTCTGCAATGTTTGAAGGAGCTCTCCTGGAAGCCTGTGACCTGGTTCAGTTTAGTTTAAAAGAGTGAGCTATCACATGCATTTAAGATTGAAAAAGGTGGATCTAAAACGAATACTTCACATCCATATTCGACTAGATGAATAAGAATTTAAAACTTCTTTTTTCAGCGGCTATCTATGCACTTGGTATGTTTTCAATAACTATCTTTATACTGTTTGATTCGCTTATCTCGATAAATGTGAATACAATGCATAGAATTATTTTCCAATAATACGCACATATAATTACTCAAATTCCTACTACATTCAATACCAACAAGTTCTCTGCCAACATAATTTCCTTTATGTATTTGAGATTAGAAATTCTATTAACCCCATAGCAATATCATCTTAAGCATTTAAATCTCTTGTTAAATCAAATTTTATGCATTTTAATTGTCAGTAAAACTAAAATGTAGATGATGTTTAGTATCAGTATGATAGAGCGATTCCGTAGTATTCCTTTAACAGATAGAAAGAGACCTTCTTGGAGAGCATCAACAACTTCATGTGTTGTGACATTTAGTGCACGTAGAAGAATAGCCAAATTTTGTGCTTTCCTAGGGTCGATAATTTGAATGTACTTGATCGCTGGTTCACCTGCTTTATCTTTCTTCTCATTACTCTTGTTCTGAGTTGCTTGATAACCAAATAAAATCTCCATCATCTCCTCATTGAACCTACAGAGGTTTTCCAAATGCAATTTGGAATCAAAGAAAATTTTTGATGAAGCATTATTAGTCAGATTGTCTATAATTAATGCAAGGTAGAATTGTTTCCTTACTGGAATGATCCACCATGGATCTCATGCCAGACCATTGATTGATCTGCACTAGCCGTTACCTTGTCCCAGAAAAAAGGTTTCAACTTGGCTTTTTGTGAAGAATCACTGTCGCCATCAGAACCACTCTGTTTACGTGCTCCAAGAGGTCCAGCCTTCGATTTTGGTGGCGGAGGAGGACGGACACCTTTAGGCGGAGGCGGTGGGGGGGCAGCACGAGGAGGAGGAGGAGCTGGTGCTTTGGGAGGTGGTGCTGGAGGAGTAGGAGCTGGTCTCCCAGGAGGAGGTTTCAGGCCTGCTCCAACAGTGGCATTATATCCTGGTGGTTTTGGAAGTGAGTTATCATCTTGCTCCGTGGGCGAACTACTAGCCAAAGAATGGTCATTTTGGTCGCTAGTAACGGGTTCTTTGTTGCTAGAACTTCCTAAACTGATAGACTTGTGTGAAGAATCTGAAAGATTGTAACGTTAAAATGTTTGCGCAAGCATGAAAAAGAAAGTGAATACAACTCAATGACAACAAACACAACAAACACATACCTTCGCTCAAGTAATCGGTTAAGTGTAAAAGAGGTTTTTCATCCTTTGGTTCTGTTGTTTTCCTCAAACAACAAAAGAAGACCACTGCAACAAGGATGAATGTTGTGGCAGAAGTTGCACCAACAGCTATAACAATTGTCATCATATCCTTCTTCTTCTTCTTCTTCTTACCAGATTTACCTGGTTTTGCACTGGAAACCTTTTTCGATACATGAACTGAAAAATCCAATACACCTCGAGATGGATGCATGTAGCTTGAGGTAAACTCTGAGTCGTAAGCATGAAAGGCAAGCCCATTCTTTCTTAAGCAATCAAGAACCCCTTCTCTCACTTGAGGAGGCAAAGTATTAATAGCTTTGTCCACGCTTTGTTTTGTTAATAGTGTCGATATCAAGTCGTTGGTTACTTGTGGTATATACAGGTTGAAATCTTTCCTAGCAACTCTCTTTTCTCCCATCTCCCTCGTGCAATGATTCCATTCCTCTGCCTGTAAGTATAATTTTTTTGTCAAGCTTTCAACAGGTAATGTTTTCAACACGACAACGCTTGATCCATAATTGCAGTGACAGATGCATGAACCTTTAAAATATTTCTAATGTGCATTAAACATCGAATAAAATTCGAAGTAAAGGGAAACAACTAATCTTATAATTCAAAGTAAAGGCAGGACACATTTTGACATAGCTGAATGAATTACCTTTGATAGTCAAATCTTTGTCCCATTGTGATTAGAAATCGACATATAATTGCCTAAGAAAAAAAATCAAACTCGAACCTCTCTAAGTTTCATTCATCACAATGCTATACATGTTAAAGTGCCTTAACAACATACATACTCCGAGAATTCAACAAGAGGAGGAATAATAAGAATGCATACCATTTTGTCATTTATGGGAGATGTTGTGGTGCCATCATCTTCACGTATCCCCCGCTTACCTTCCAAGCTCACTATGCTCAAATAGCAAACCAACATCACCAAAAAAATGGCATAACCAGCCCTTCTCATTTCCATGGATCTTCCAAACATTACCCCATTCGCTTATTACTTTTCTCATTTCATCGAATACACTAATGATCTTTCAACAAAAACACAACCTTTCTTCCTTCAAGATTTTCCCGCCTTCAAGGAAAATGGCAAACACCCCCACAGAAAAAATGCCATTTTTTTAATCTTCTATACAAATAATTTGTTTCAATGTCTGTCAATCTTGATAGAAATGAAAAACGAAAAAAATAAGAAGATGAAAAGACAAACAGGCTTCTACGTGTCTGATGTTTGCAACGGGCAGAACAAAAGACAGAAAAGCCAACAATGTGATAAGAAGAGAAAACCCAGGTGTGGGTTGGTAATAATATTTGGCCCTGGGGGATAATTTGTTCACCCGAATGTTTCTCGTTTTGTCGGGTGAGGAAAGACTCTGTTTGAGACGCGACGAGGACGATGCAACATAACCCACCCTTTTTGTTCTTCTTTTATATGTTATATTTGTTTAGGGAAGTTTTTATTTTTTCCCATTAATGGCACCTCATTAGTTACTATGCCAACTCTTAATTCTTCATTAATTAATTCATATTATACATGTTTTTCATCTTATATTATTGTTAATTTTAACTAAATTTCTGCACACATATGCACCCTATTAATTAGAAGTCTTATATTAGATATTGCATAGAGAAAAATAATTTGGGATTTGTTTAGTATGAAAGACAAACGCAAGAGAAGATTGTTAGAAATGAAGTTATTATTAAAATTAATTAATTTTGAATAGTTTTATAATGATACAAAAAAATTGAAATAAATTATTAATTTTATTTAAAATAAGAAATGTATTAAATTACAATAAAGATTTACAATTATAATTGTAAATTAAGTACATGATTATGAAAACTTCCTATAATCATTGAAACAAAACTAGCAACTTAATATCACATAAAAATCATACAAGGAAAAATTAAATTAACCAAGAAACTTGTACAAAGATAGATATAAACAGATCTGATCGTATCGGCAAACGAACCACAAAAATAAATTAAGCTACTGAAAGACCACCGACAATCCGCAAATCAGACTCGACAACGTGAAAAACTACCACGAACGTATAACATGTATCCAGATCCAATCGAGGATCTAATACATATAATATCAATAATATAACAGATAAGTCATCTTTATCAATTATGATGACGTCTAATTAACCCTTAAAAAAAGATAAAAGAAAATGACGACCAAGCGGCCAAAAAACGTATCAAAAGGAAGAAGAAAACGTGTCATAAAGACAGATGAAAATGTGTTATACAAGCAAAGGAAAATGTATTATATAGTAAATTATTGAAAATAAAAAAAAAAAAAATGACAATAAAGAATAATAACGGTTAACAATTAACATTAAAATTTGTGTCACCGTCGATCAATGAAGAGAAAAAAAAGATGAACGACTTACCATGAAAAAAATAGAAAAGAAAACCAGTGAAGAATTACTCTAATAAAAACTAATGATCCAAAATGTTAACGTTCGAACGTTATTTTAAAATTTGGTAATTATTTTTAGTTCTTGCGTTAGAGTCTTTGTACTAAGATTGAGCTCTAATTGGGTATGTTTTGGACTCAATTGGGGTGAAAATGAATTTAGAGTTAATGATACAAGGAACGACAATACTAATATGATCACCAATACTATTAAAATTTAGTAATTACGTTAATGTGTTTTTTTTTAATTTTCTACGTTCTTTTTTAATAATATGGGTAAAGTACATAAATGGTCACCCGATTATAGATACTATTTGTTGAGTCATTCAACTATTAAAAGTTATAAAATGATCCCTTGTTATGGGCATTGCATTGTTGAGTACATCAACTATTAAAAGTTACAAAATGATCATTCGAGTATTTATATGTTTATTTACTTATCCTTTTCGTTAAAAATTTGTTTGAGTTGGATGATAACATGTTTATTGGAATATAATAAAATTTGATCCGAAATTGTTTCAACTATATAGTCATTTGATATTCTTGTATAAGAATTTATTATATCTCAATCAAGGTTAATGTCCAACACATGTTGTTGTCAATTTTTTAATAATAAAATACGAGCTTGGAATGTATGAATAATCGGATGATCGTTTTGTAATTTTAATAGTCGAAAAGTAAACAAAATAATACTATGTAGTTAAAGGATCATTTTATATTTTTTAATAATCAGACTCACAGTACCATATATTATCATTTGTTTCCTTTATCCAATGAGTCAAAATTGTTTAATATTCATATAAAATGGCCACTATTTGCATGCTGTCACGTATACATGGTGATAGACATGCCTGCAGACACTCAGACTCGAGCTCAACTCCCAAAATATTCCTCTTTCACTCTGTATTTATATTTAGGCAAATTAATTAGATGATCACTTAATTTTTAGCACTTTAACATTTTGATAAAAAATTATTTCAATTTGATCATTCAGTTTTAAGGGAATTAATGTTTTGATTTTTTATAATAACCAATTCTCAAAATTGGGCAAACTAGAGTATAACTGTTGTTATTATGTTCATATTCCTAACATTTACGATATTCGAATTCAAAATCTTAAAAATAATAGCAATTCATTTATCAGTAAAGTCACTTTATATCTAACGGGCATGATTTAAATCCGTAATGGCATTACAAGCTCATGTTTGTCTCTTTAATTGGCCTTCACGTGCACTCGCATATTCACCTTAAATCTCAAATTCCATTGCCAATATCATATAATGGCGAAACAAACCTATATTAATATCTAACTCAAATCCTCAAAAGTTCAATAAAATATTTTAGTCGACAAAAGTATGTGTTCAATAAAAAATAAATTTTCATAAATAATTTATATGATAAAATATATTATTTTGTTTAATATTAAAATTAACAAATCATTAACTTAAACTAGAGTTTATTAGAAAATATAGTTTTCTTTTTCTCTACCAACAACAAGCTTTTTTCTTTTTTTTATTTTATCAATGACAGCAACGACGAATCCACCCTTAGTTCAAATCTAAATTTTCTTCGATTAGTTATCTATTTTATGAATTATATCCAGCTCATACAAAAAATTTATATTATTAAAGCATGAGTGTTCACCCTCAAAAAAGCTTTTGAATTTGCCACTGAACAGAAACACCAGTCTTGGTGTTGATCGTTGACTGTCATTGTTCATCTTCATCATTGTTTTCTCATATCTCGCTTTGGTTTGTTATTTTATTCACTTTTTATTATAATTTTTAAGAGTTAATTGCATCACATGTCCTCAAAGTATAACCTTCATTTTAAATTTTATTCTCTTTTTATTATAATTTAAGAGTTAACTACATCACATATCCTCAAAGTATAAACTTCATTTTAAATTGGTCCTTAAATTTTTAAATGTTTAAGTTTCATCCCTAAACTATGCCTATGATTCTAAATTAGTCCTCAAACTTTTGAACATTTCAATTTCATCCCCAAACTATGAGTTTCATTCTAAATTGGTTCATAAACTTTTTGAACATTCCAATTTCATCCCAAACTATATGTACATACTAATCATATCCCTTGTTAATCAAATCGTTACGCCAAGTTATACTATTATATGCTTAAAAACAAAATTTAGGTTAAATTATGGTTGAAACTAATTAAATATTTGGATGAATTTGGGAATGAAATTGGAATATTTAAAAGTTTGGGGAACAATTTAGAAAGAAAGTTATAGTTTAGGGATGAAATTAGAATGTTCAAAAGTTTAAGGACTAATTTAGAACGTGAGTCATAGTTTGAGGATGAAATTAGAATATTTAAAATTTTAGGGACCAATTTAAAATGAGGTCATAATTTAAGGACATATAATAATTAACTTAATTTTTAATAAAAATCTTTTTTGTTTAATTTCTTACTTTTCACATGTACTATTATATTCATTTACCTTTTTGACACGCTTTACTCTACTATTATGACATTTTCTTTATCTTATGACACATTGTTTATCTACCTTTATGGTATATATATGATCTTATAGAGATCTCCACGTTGTTTGTATCTGATTTATGATTATCGGTGATATTTCATTGATTAGATTTCTTTTGATGTTGTTTGTCAATCTATTTAGATATATTTTACGAAGAAACTTGTAATTTTATTTTAATTCGCTCCCAATCATTTATCATCTCTAAAACGTCTAATTGGATATACAAAGAAATACTATTGATGGTTATTAGATTACTATGGATGATGAACGTTAGTTTCAAAAGAAAGTTTCAACAATTATTTTACCTTTTTCTTTTTTTATCCTATTTTATGTTTGAGATTTTTTTTGTGTGGACATAGTACTTAATTTTTTTATTGGTTGCATTGTTAATGTTGTATCTTCTTTTGTTTCAATAAAATTCATTATCATTTCAAGGTTAAAAAATGATTATAAGTAGGGGTGTTCGGTCGATTTAGATGGATTTTTGGCTAAAAATGCATCCGATCACAAAGTATAAATGTTTGCAATTTGAATCGGTTTGGATGTTTTTAAAAAAAATCTGATCCGATCCGATCCAATTAATGTGGTTTGATTCGGTTTGAATTTTTGCAGTTTTTGGATTCTAATTTTTCAAAAAATTCAAAGTAATAACATGTCTAAGGGGGTCAAATAGTTTCACATTTCACATCCTAAGCTAACATGTAACATCGATCGAATAAACATCAATCCAATGTAGTATGTTTTGTCGAAAGCTTGGAATTCTTAAGGCGGAGCTTTAAGTCGGGGGTTAATTTCCCTTGGAAACTGGGAATTCTTGATGAACAAACAATGTGCAGGAAAAAACACAATACTTTAAAATCTTTGCATTTAAATTTGTAAATCGGCATAACAGTAGTAAAAAATCTTTTGCATTTTCAATAATCTGATTACAGCTTTAGGGACATATATTATATATATTCAAGAGTCTTAATAGAAAGTTAACTATACAAGAAATATGGAAACACCTATAAGTTAGCCTATAAATTTGGCAAATCTGTAAACAATCTGTCCATATCAAACAAGGTAAATACTTGAAACGGTGTCTCACTTCATTGTAATAGATATCGGTTCGAATCGGTTTCAGATTTTCAAACCGAAATCGAACCGAATCGATTGGTTTTTTTTTTTAAAAAACAAACTAAATCGGTTTCGATTTTTTCGGTTATCGGTTTTTTGGATCGATTTTCGATTGTTTTTTTAGATCAGATTAGATATGAACACCCTTAATTATAAGCATGCACTTTTTGACTTAGTAAGAAGCTATTACATTTACAAAGTAAATGTTGAAATTTAAACAAAATAAATAAATATCCTTAATCATCTGACCTCACAAACATACAATTTATTTACTATTTAGATTAATAACAAAATCAATTTAAATTAAAACTAACTGCAAATTCACATATGCTTAAACTGTATGAACCTTTAAATAGGTAAAAAACTATTATATATTTAAATTTATAATCTTTTAGATATTATAATAATTATTATATTAATTAAATTAAGGTTTGGGCTAACATAATGATAAAAATTGACAGTGGTAAAAGTTGAGGAAAAAGAATAAAACTAAAATCCTATACTCTCTCTGTAAACAAAGACAAGACACCGTTTGAGATTTGCAGGTTTTTGGAAGTTAGTTCTTCTACTTGTAGTACAAAAAGGAAAAATGAAGATATGTTATGTGGGAAAAGCAACAAAGATCTTCATCTTCCTAGTGACAGTGTTGGTGGCTTTGTGTCTGGTCTTGGGATTCGGTCTCTTTCGTCACGGCCACCAAAACTCCCACAATTGCTCGGCGATTCTTGCCCTTCTTCATCCCTTGTCTTCCCACACCACCACCACCACCGTCCTCTTCTTCCTCTCCCCCTCCTGCATCTGCCAACCCTACCACCACTCCACCTGCTCCTCCTACCACAAACCCAAATCCCCCGCCACAATTTCCTCCACCGCCTGCTTCTACTGCAGAGTTGGCGCCGCAGCCCTCAAATCAGCCCACTCCGGTATTGGTGGCTCCAGGTCCTGTTCATGCTTAGATTAGCTGGTTAGTTTCCATTTTAAGAAAAGATTTGTACGGCGTTTTCTTTGTTTATATGGTGAGTTAAATTATGGTGAGAGATGATCAGATTTGAATTTTGGTTATTTTTTTGTGTACTGTAAAAAAGAAGAAGATATTTTTCATGTATGATCTGTAATGGTGGATTTGACTTTGTTGCAAAATCTTTTAATCTACACTTTCCAGTTCCATTTTCCCCCTTGTTATGTTGAATCCTGGGTGGTGGGTGGGTGCTACTTGTTTTGTTGTTGGAAATAATTTATGGTTTCATTAGTCACAATTTTAAGGATATTGATTTTTAAAGATTTTAAGTTCGAATAACGCCATGACTAATGCCATAATTTGAAAACAAAAGGTCAAAATAAGTATAAAAGTACATTTTTAATGCTGGAATCAAAACTTCAATCCTTTAGATGTCAAACAAAAACTTAAGTATAAAAATACAGAGTAACAGAATGAGATTACTATTAAAATAAAAAGACAACAAATATCACATAAAATATCAAGTCAAGACATACAAAACAGTAGCATATCAATCATACCACATATTCTATCAATGCATACATGTTGCAGTCACACGCTCAAACGATTCAAAACAATAACATATCAATCATATTCAATAAATAGGGTAAGGAAAGTGTAATATTAAAATAAGGAACACACCTTAGCAGATATATATGTATGTATGTATGTATTGCATAAAGTACAAAAAGCAACAAGACCTAAATTTGATATACATCGTTCTCTAAAGGTAGGTTAATCTATAACAGAAGCTTAATCTCACATATAGGATCAAAACAACACAAGATCACAAACATTCGTGTAGGAAATAATTTAGAATTTTTACAGGAAGACGTGTTTTACATATTAGATTACTCAAGCTACATGATTAATGGCTAAACAGATAAACTTCAACATACCGAGACAAATAACGAGTACCAACTTTACTATCATACAGATAAATCTCTAACTAAAGAACTTTGAGTAAAAACATACAAGTAGTAGTATCAAAATCTTATTAAATGATCAAGTACACTTACGCGAAAGCATGCACAGTATGAAGATAGAAATGATTATTAACAAATGAGACATTTTTAAGGCTTAATAAACAAAAAAAAATGCCTAAACTATACCCTTTTTCTAGTTTAGGTGCCTAAACTTTTTTCCGATCAATTTGGTGTTTAACGTTGCAGACATTGTTATTTTAAGTGCTTCGGCCGTAATATCCGTTAAAATATTTCGTTAAGTTACACATGTCATATTTATATAATTTTATTTTTTTTTATTTTTTAAAATAAAATTCATAAATTTTCAAAAAAAAACCCTAATTCTTTCTATTTTACACAAAACACCCCAAAACCATAAAACCCTAATTTCCAAATTAAGTTTAGGGTTGAGAATGGTTGGCAGTGACGGTGGTAGCGACCAATGACAAGAAAGATTCGAACACCGACGAACAGATAGATGCATAACGATGCCTAAGGGTGTAAATAAACTGAGCTTGAACGAACAAAGTTATGTTTGTGTTTGTTTTTTTAAGGTGTTCGTTCTGTTCGTGTTCATTTAAATTTTTAATATCGTATTCGTTTATTTATTTTTGAAGGTGTTCGTTCATTTATTGTTCGCGAACGTGTTCATTTATATAATCACGAACATGCTCCTTTAGCGTTCGTTTAGTGTTTGTTTAGCATTCATTTAGTGTTTTTTATTGTTCGTTTATATATTCAATTTTTAGTTTTACCCTTTCATTTGCAAGCTAAATAAAAATGATAAAATTACACCACTAGTTCTTAAACTCCTTAAAATTCACAATTTAAATTTCAAGTTTTATCATGTGTTCAATTTAGTTTCTACCTTCACCAATATTTAAAATGTAAAAAAATAAAATAAAAGGAAAAGGAGAACCGGGTAAACGAGCTTGTTCATGAATTTAAATGAACTGAATATACCTTTGTTCGTATTCGTTCATTTATTAAATGAACATAATTTTTTCTTATACTCATTTATTTAGCTTAATGAATGAACATAAAGGAACATTATACGAACAGTTCACCGAATGTTACGTTGATTTACACTACTAACATTGCCTCCTTGGTGAGAACACATGTAATTTAGACAAAATGCAAATGAACGGTAAAATGGAAAGGAACGCACAAATCAGATGCAAAGGAATAGAATTTGACAAAATGAAATCTGCGAACAAGTGGGTGCTAATTTTCAAGGAATTTAAGCAAATTGAGGTGAGAATGGGATTTGGCAGGGGGACGCATATGGTGCCACATTTCGCAAAAGAATTTGGGCGTATGGGTAATTTAGGGTTTTGTTTGATTTACGGGTTTAGGAAATTGAAGCAATGACAATGGGATGATCGACCGTGGAGGTCCAATAATGGATGGGTAGATAACCGATGAAGGTGGCGGAAGCAATTGGTGGTGAAGTTGATGACATCGTTGACGGTGACTGTGATCGACAAAGGAGATGGTAAGGTTATGGTTAAGGATTTTAGGGTTGATTTTAGATATTTTTAGGGATTTTGGGCTTAATAACATATGATTTAAATTTAGTAAAAAAACGACTTCAAACGAATGGAGAATTAAAAAAATAAAGAAATAGGAGATTAAATCGCAAAACAATCAAATTACTTAACTAAAGACTAAATTAATTTTCAGTTATTCTAACTTTGCAATGTGAACTTGACTCAATCTCAAAACCCAAACTAAAATTTGAATTAACTCGAATAATTTAAAATTTTAAAAGAAAAATTATTTCTTTAAATTGAATCAAATTTAACTTACCTCTAATTTCATCAAAGCTATGTGCACGTTGCCCCGTAACAACGTTAGTTGCAAAATCATGGTATGTAATTAAGAATCCAAGAGAAACAGACAATTTTCGCTACAAGAACATAAATCGAAGATTCTTGTAAACAAAGGAATCTCCATAGGCTTAAAAAGCCAAAAACACCATCAGCACAAGGCCAAACCCAATGTGAAGCATGTTCCGAAACTGTTCTTGATAGCTGATGAGGGAGGTGGTGGTGGTGGTGATGATGGTGAAACACCAATTGGTGCTCCTTCTGAAGGCACATCAGGGGACAATGGACTCCCAGGAGCTGATTCCGGGGCATTTGCCGGCGAGGGAGAAGTTTCCGGAGGCGGAGACACAGGAGATGTTGCCGGTGGAGTAGACGTCGCTAATGTGTCGATTTCAATCTGCATTCCTTGGTTACAATGTCCAAGTGTACCACAGATGAAGTATTGCTTTCCCTGAGTCGTAAGAGGTATGACCGTGTTACCGTTTGTGTATGTCTGAAGCGGGTTACCGGCCTGGCAGGAGTCGTGGTCCGCCTTGGTAACTTCAAGCACGTCATGGTTCGGAGTGTACTGAAAAACTGCAGATAATCGAATGTCAATTCAAAAAATACAAATTATCAAGTAATAATATAAGCCAAGCAATGTGCAACTTACCCAGATTATCGCCTACTGCAAATGTTTGAGCTGCAACCCAGGATTGCAGGTCAGTGCTTGTATCCCACCCTCCATTTGCACCTCCAACTGTGTAATTTGCTGCCATGGCGAGCTCCATGAACATGCCTATGGATGCCAAACATATTAATGTTCTCAGCACTGCCATTTTCCTGGCTTAATTTGAAAGGTAATAAAATCACAAGTACGAAACTGAGATCCAATATGGAATTGGAGGGAAGGAAGATCAATTGTTTATATAAGGGAAAACGAAGACCAAGAAATGCAGTTTTGCAGAAGGAAGAGGCCATCAGTTTATAATTAATTATTTTCCTGTTGGAGTTGGTTTAATTAACATGAAGTTTAACAAATGCCAGCTTGTTTTGTCGAGGATGCCAAACATTTTTGGAGCATATGTTTTTAATAAATTCTTCCATTCTTACAACTTGAAGCCATTTTATGGATTAAGTGATGTTCTACCATGAACTAATCATTTTTTAATGCATGAGCTGCCCATGTTATTTGACTCGGACATAGAAGAACTAGTCGAGCAGAATAAAAATAAACTACCATCCCTTTATTCTAATCCCCATCAATGTACACGAATCCAACGAATTTAATAATTAAATAAATAATTGTTAATGATTCGATATTTTAATTCGAATACGATATTTATAAATTTATTTAAACACTCGTAATTAAATGATACAAAATCTTTATACAAATAATATATTGTAATCACCTGATATCGCAATAACTAAGTCAGAATTCTAACTTAAAGAATATGATTCGTGGCAGCCATGTGAAACAAACAAGGATAATATATATTTTAAGTTTACATTATGGAAAAACCATTGACCTGCCTTTCATTCTATCCTTTTACTATCGTCATTTGTTGTGACCATGATCGCCGTCACTTTTATTTTTGGCAAAAGATACTTGCGGTCTTCGTACTTACAAAAAAATTAATATGGTTCTTAATTAAATTATTTCCATATTCAATATCACCTTTAAACTTATAAAAAAATCTAATATAGTCTTTTGATCAATAATTTTCATTTTGACCACTACATGTTAACATGACATTTTACAATGCTAACGTGACAATTTACTATATTGATGTGGTGGTTCATGATGCCTAGTAACATGACTGATAATGTGACAGATAGATTAAATTGATTTTTTTTATTGAATTAATTTTCTAAAGTTAAGAGGCTTATTTTATTTTTTAAATTAAAATAGTTTAAATTTAAAATATAAATATTAAAATTAAACATAAGAAATTACCAAAAATTAAAATTATATATTATTATTTTTTATCTCGAATTTAACTTGTTTTATTTGTATAAACCTAAACTCGTTTAATCCTATACAAATTTTATTTTATATATTTACCTATAATTATCTTAAACTTTAAATGTCTTTCTAATTATATTTCACTAAATTTTTATAAAATTGAATTAATTAAATATTATAACGTCTTATAAAAAATTAGCATTTTAGTGAATATAACAAAGGTGTGAAGTGCCTTTTTGCTTAAAAAATAACGAAAAATCAACCTACCTATCAATTTATTAGATACAATTTTATAAACTAAAAACAAATATAGACTCCATGTGTTGGAGGTTTTTTGTCACCCAATATTTATTTATTTATTTTAATTTTTTCAAGGAACAGCACATTCACCTATACAAAATAAAAATAAAATAAAACTCACATTAGAATTGACATGTATAAGTACAACAATATAATTATATTACTAAATAAAACAAATCTCACATTAAAATTTACTTTTAAATTTAGTGAATCATTTAACAATAATATTTTCATTCATTCTAGTTAATGTATATATATATATATATATATATATATATTATATTTTTAGTAATTTTATTAATATTTTATATTTTTATATATTTTTAATTTTAAAATATTTTTTTATTAAATAAACCCACAAACTTTAAAAAGAAATTAATATGGTCCTCAAACTCAATAAAAAAACCAATTTAGTCGTCTATTACGTCATCAGTTACAGTGGACCGCCATGTCAATACTATAGACTGCCACATTAGCATCGTAAAGTGTTTCATCAGTATCGTAACAGTCAACGATAAAAAACATTGATCAAAGTAACATATTGATTTTTTTCTAAATTTGAGGTCATATTGAATACAAAAATAAGTTCGAGCATTATATTTTTTTTATAAAAAAAAAAACAAAAACAATGGCGTACCCTTTTGCCTTTATTTTTTTAATTCGGGGGTGCGGTTAGACCGAATCCCCAAGAACACAACCGGAGACTGCCTAAAACACATGGATAACCTAACTGTTTGGAACTGTTCTGGAAAATGGAAGATTTGGTTTACAAATTTGCTGTGTTAATTTATTTATTTAGATTAGAGATTAGTTGTTGCACCTGCTGCTAGGGATGTTCAAAAACATCATATTCTAATTATTCGATTCGTTGATCTGTTCAGCCCGTTTATGAGATTTCAGTGATCTAAGATGAACATAAAATCAAGTCACTAATAATAAATATCGAAAAAATTAAATTATAATAACAAAAAATTTGAATTATAATAACAAAAAAAATTCTTGTAAATTATAATAAACTATCTAATAAATACATCAAATTTTAAATAAAAAAACATACAAAAATTTATTAAACCAATTACTCACACAAAATAAATGCGACTCTCTCTTTTGTTTAAATAAAGAGTGAGAAAACAAAGCTGGAACAAACTAAGAGAAATACCTAGTTTCCATCAAGCAGAGTCTGTTGCATGAAACTCTCATCATCTAGCAATCCTTCAATAGCCGAGGGTGGGTCTAGAACATCTGAAACCCAGAAGGTCAACTCCAAACCAATTTAGCCATAGTATCTACTGCCTTGTTGCCTTCATGGTCACGAAACGGAACGACAAACTTCATTCTCTGTTCAATAGCTCATAAATATGTGGAGCAAGGGAAGAAACACCATGGAATCTCGGATCTTTAGCAATAAACGCCGGTGCCTCTTTGTTGTCCACCTCAACAATCATCTCATTTATATTCAAAATCCACGCCAAACGCAAACCTTCATAGATACCCCATAATTTTGAATCAAGTACGGAGCAACAACCTATAAAGTTACAGAAACCGGACACTCATCCACTTAAGTGGTCGCGAAGACCCCTCCACAAGTGGCCATACCTACGCACCGTTCGAAATACGACTCTCTTTTAAGTAAGCACAAATTGGATTTCAGCCTTTTTCGTACTGTCAAAAAATAATAAAAGAATAATTAAGTGAAAAGTTAAAAAATAATTTTAAAATCCCACATCAACGTCCCCATTAATATTTTAATGTTGGATAACCAAAAAAGAAACAAAATATAATATTAAGTATAATTTTGAAAAATAATAATTAAATGACCAAAACTAAAATAAAATAATAGTGAGAGACTAAACAGATAATTTATCTTTTTTAATTATACGTAGACTTAGTAATTTTGGGCCATAGGCAGGAGGGGCTCTGGACAGGTGTCCCTCAAGTCCAAGCTCAACTACAAGCATGAATCTGCCAATTCAGTTAAAAGTTATTAGATATTTATAATTAAAATGTCTGAATTTACAAATCAAGTACTCGGTCATTTCACCATATAAAAATATAAAGAAAATATTTAAAACATATGTGAATTTGAGAGACGACTACCCTAGTTCCCTCGATCTATCCCTATTTGTGTTCATGCTTCTGCTATTTGTTTACCATTATACATAGTTACATATACTGTTCCAACATGCATTAAAATAACTCGTGTAACAACCCAAGCAATTAGACATATTTCGAAGTGTGTCTCTATCCATCAGGCATCTGCTCTTACTTCCAGCCTTTATTTTCTTTTCAACCTGGCGTGAAAATGATTTTTTTCTGATAATAATGTATGATTTTTACATCATCCCTACTGCTGCAGGATCCACGGTCTGTTGGGGCTATTGCAGGACTTGCTGTTGCAATTATCTTTACATGTAGGTTGATGAGATCGCCTTCACCACCTCCAAGAAGGCAACCGAAACGTCAAGCTCCAACAACTAGTAACACTGCTATCAGTACCCAGTCGAATATCCTTCTGGAGTTTATTCATCTTCAGAGATTTAAGAACACAGAATTCTGTCAAAGAGTTTTTCCAGCCAGTAAAGGTATGAATTCCCCTCTTTCTAGAACAATTTGATAGATTTATCTTTGTCAATTAGATTTGTTTGTTTGCAATTCATCTCTCTTCTGCGGCCAACATTGGGGCAAATAGTTAGGCAGAAACTGAATGAAGGTAGAAAGGTAACTTATATATACTCCTTAATGCTGTAAGCAATGTTTAGTACTTACATTGTCTGTGTCTGTTGGTTTCTAGAAGTAGAATTCTTAGTTATATTAACCGTTCTCCTTTAATAGGGACTAATAATCTGTGCTCACCAAAAGCAACAAAAAGTTTTACTTTTAGAAATGAGATTCTTTTGGAAAGTATTTGTGCCCGTTCTTTCTTAAAATGATTGTTGGTGTCATTAAGTTGATGTTTGTTTGAAAATTTGTGGTTATATGAGCCTTCTCATATAGCCATACTATTTGAAGGATTTCTCTTCTTAGCATTGGGTTTTATGGGAATTTTGTTACTGTCAATTGGTTAAATGGCCCAATCATCACATTATTTAGTTTGTTTGTTGGATGTTTTATCAGAATAAATTGCTAATATAAATGAAAAAATATAATCTTTACTTCCAACCAGCCGTATTAACCAATGTTTTAACCGAATTGCTTTTACAGCTTCTTGCTATTGTAAACTTAACCTTTAGAAGTCTTCCCTTGCACCTTGAATGTGCACCCAAGTCTCATATGACATGGTTTAGTACTTTAGTTATTTCTGAGGGCCATTACCTGGTGCCATACTACTGCTAGTGGCTGAACTAGATGAAATGATTCTGGTTCTTGTAATTGTTTCTATAATTTAGAACGCATGAGTATAGGCAATAGTTAAAATGTTTCATATAACTAAAAGTAACTTCAGCTTACCTGGTTTTTATGCTTAATTATGACTGACTTTCAAGTTTGGGATATGCTGGTATTTGATGCTTAGGCAGCTATAAGGCCATTGGTAAGAACCCTTTCTTACTCTTTCTCCGACTTTCATGTTTTGATGCCTTATTGGCGTAGGTAACTTGTCGTTTACTTGGAGTGGTCCTTGAGGAAAGCAGTCCACAGGAGCTGCTGGTGCGGAAACTTTTCGTCAAGCTTCATTTTTGCAACTAGTATTTGCAAATAATTAATTTGATTTGTTTCATTCTGGATAGAAACAAGCAACTGTAGCGTCCTCTGTGTTGGATGTGCAATTGGAGATTACCAAATTTTGTGATATTTATCTCATGGAGAGAGTTATTGATGATGAAAGCGAAGTGCGTTCAAACCTTGTTCTATATTATTTTTTTGGCATAATGACAAAAATAAATAGGTACTTATAGCTAAACCCTAACAAAATGAAAATACCAGACATAACCTAAAAACATAATACTTGGCAAAGAGGTAAAATACTATCTAATATTGAATAACCTTGATGCAAGTGAAGATTACAATAAGACATGTAAAATATAAAATTTAATCGTAAAATAATACCATAACTATTATATTTGCAGTATTCCTCCTCATTTATTACATGCAATAGTAGTATAGTACATTAGTACTTCTTTATCATGGTTTTGCTTGTATAAAGCTACTAGCATGTTTTTACATCATATATTTTCCCTTGTGACTAACATTATGAACTGTTTGTCTTCAGAAAAATGTTCTATTAGCCTTGGAAAATGCAGGGATCTTCACCTCTGGGGGTTTGGTGAAGGACAAGGTAAGTATTGGCCCAATTGTGATTGTATATAATTTTTGTTTAGATATCTCAAACTAAATTGATCCTTCAGGCAGGAGAGTTATGTCTGGACCATGTAATATTGCTGTTCTATCTAGTTTTGGTTCATATATCTAGTATTTACTTTGCCTGAAATGAATCTGCAGGTTCTCTTTTGTAGTACAGAGAATGGAAGGACATCTTTTGTTCGGCAACTAGAACCGGATTGGCATATCGACACAAATCCTGAAATAGTTTCCCAGTTAGCTGAATTATTCAATTAATTGCCATAATCTTCAAGACAGCGCATGAAATGTCTTGGTGTCTAATTCTAAGCTAATATTCTCGTCAAAATGCCTATGATTTTGAGATATTTTTATTTATTTATTCTTTGCAGAGGTTCATCAAACATCAGCTCCACATATCCCCCGTCAAAACTGAATGGACTGCGGGTAAGGTGTTCAGTTCACCATCCTTGGAACTCTTCTTCGGATGTGTTAGACACGCGAACTGGTAAAGAAAAGATGCAAATATGGTTTAAAGTTTTTGTTTGCTCCCCTTTGGCCTTCATATGCTATCTTGTTAGTTAAAGCCTGATATTTTTCTTTCTTCTGGCACCCCCTTGTGTTGATGCCAACTTTTAGGTTAGCATACAACAATTAATGTTTGTAGTTTACTTCTAAATGATATGCCATCATGCATGAAAGAAATTTGTTGTTCTTGCCTCTACCGTGTTCTGCTTTTTTTTCCCTTTCTATTAGTTATTAGCACTTCATATATTTACTTTAAAAAATTGTATGAGAATGTTACATGAACTAGTGTTGAAAAGACACTAGATCAATGGCTGGATCGGTTTAGGCCTGTTTACATTAGTGTTTTTTTCTTTAAGTCAAAAGAAGAAATTGTGCTTTATAAATACTTTTCAGTCCAAATGCAATAACTAAAAATTTCAACTTTTGCGTTAGAAAAATGTTTTTTTGAGTCAAAAGTATAGTTTTAACTTTCATTTTGTTATCATATAATGTCTTTATTCTATAATTTATAAGCTTATAATTTTTAAGTAAACAATGTATTTAGTTTAGTAAATTATTTTTTTTCTTTCAAAATCATACTTAATATTTTATTTTGGTTTTATTTTGTTTATCTACAATTAAAAAAATAACATAATTATTGATGTGATATTTTTTAAATTTTTTAATGATGATGTTACATTATCTTATAGTGACACGTTAATATCAACATTAATTTTTTAATGGTAAGTGATCAAAATGAAATCAAAACATAATATTAATTATGATTTGAAAGAAAATAATAATTTAGTGACCAAATACGTAATTTACCTTAAAAATTATAAATTTATAAATTGTAAAATAAACACCTTATATGATATTCGGTGTCCGATGATCGGTGGATAAGTAATCGACGACAGTAATGATGACAAGAACGATTGGCAATAGAGTTAATGATTTAGATTAGAGATTTTAGAATTCTCTTTTATATATTTTAGAGAAAAAATTCAACTTTTTAAGACAATAATAACTATAAATTTTCTAAAATAAAATTTTAAAAAATTTATAAATATAACTTCTTTTATAGTTTGTGGTTGTCAGATTTTTTTAATTACCATAAAAATTCATACACTTAAAATAGTAACAGAATAAATATTAAACACTTAACTTTACTAAAATAAATCAATACCTAAGTTTTTTTATTGATATGAGTATGAAACAATATTTATTTGAAGATAATTTTTAATTATTTAAAATTAAACACTTACATCCAATAATATTCATCCTATTCAAATGTGAAACCTTAAGAAATTACACTCGTTTATTTACCTAAAGTTAAAAGATATACTTTGGACATTTGTTTTTTTTTTTTTTAGTTTAGATAATTGAACTTGTCGGATTCTCATATATCCAGTTCAACTGATCGGTCCGGTTTGATTCTAATTATGTTACTCTCTTTAGTTCGAACTGTCCTCCTTTCAAGCTCAAGCTTCCCGAATGCTAATCCTAAACCCAAGTACCAGTGAACAAGACTGGAAAAATGGCGTCGTTTCGGCTGACTCGTTCCGCCTCACGCGCCCTCCTCAGACCTTCTCTTTCTTCTTCACTCTCTATCTTCTCTTCTTCATCGCAATCATCGTCAACCACGATTACCAGTCCCCATTTCAGCAACCAATTCACTCGACTTTCTCACTTATTTCCTGATTATCATAATTCTCGTCATCATTTCAGAGTCTCCAAGGAAAATCTATCGTTCCTTACAAAATTCAGACCTGGGATTGTTTGGATATCCACCTCTTCTGGAGTCGCCGGCCGCTCTGGTAAAGGTGATCAACCTCGTAGTAGTAACAATAACAATAGTGTTGCCGGGGTTCCATCTTGGGTTGACGTTTATTTGCCCCGTGGAATTCAGCCTTACGCTAAGCTTGCCCGCCTCGATAAGCCTATTGGAACTTGGTTGCTTGCTTGGCCTTGTATGTGGTAAGACTTCCTTTTTCTTTCTGTCTTCCTCTAATTGTTGAGCTGATCCGTCTTCGAATTTGTTTGAAATTTTGTTGCTTTTGACATGGAATCTTTTAAATTTTGCAGGTCAATTACATTAGCAGCAACACCTGGCCATCTTCCTGATTTTAAGATGATGGCTTTGTTTGGTTGCGGGGCACTGCTTTTGAGGGGTGCTGGTTGTACCGTCAATGACCTCCTTGATCGGGATATTGATACTATGGTATCTTTAATTGTTTGCAATCTCACATGATTTTGCTGGCTATAATCTTAATATATAATTAAGAATATTAGGAACTTAAAGGGTCCTAATATTGACAACTGCACTTAATATTCTACTCATACACGTTTCTGTGTCTTGACATTTACCGGTTCATTAGTCCAGACATTTGATTATAGGAAGCATTTTGCACGCAGGTGGAACGGACAAAGCTAAGACCTGTTGCAAGTGGTCTTTTGACACCATTTCATGGGATTTGTTTTCTTGGTTTACAACTGCTCTTGGGTCTTGGAATTCTCCTTCAACTTAATAATTATAGGTTAGAGTTCCTTCACTTGTTGGTGCTTCCTGTTATCTTTCCGGTGATTTGGATGTATGCAACATTCCCAAAGGACTTGCATAGTTTTTCATGAGATTTTCCATTGGTGATATTGGGTTGGACTTAATCACAGGAGTTCTGTTTCATATCCTTTAAATTTTAGTGGTCTTTCTCAATTTCCTTTGAAAATTAGGTGAAATCTATCTTAGATAGTTGGTACACAATTTTGATTTATACAACTGAACTGATATTTCCTAACCGTTTCTTGCAGCCGGGTATTAGGAGCTGCATCCTTGTTGCTAGTCTTCTCCTATCCTCTCATGAAGAGGTTTACATTTTGGGTAATGATGTTTTCATGTATCTTTTCTTCTTTTGTGCACAGTATTGTTTATTTATTTACCTTTGATTCATCTGGTCGATTCAGCCCCAAGCCTATCTGGGTCTGACCTTCAACTGGGGAGCGTTATTAGGTTGGTCGGCTATTAAAGGAAGTCTAGATCCAGCCATTGTGCTCCCACTGTACTTTTCTGGGGTATTCTGGACTCTTGTGTATGATACAATATATGCACATCAGGTACAACTTTATCGCATGAAAGCTATAAGTTCTTCATGCTTTCTTTACAACATTTACTTGAGTAAGATCCTAGCTTGAAATAATCTGCTATTGTTAATTTTGTGGAGCTGGTATGATTTTGTTTAGCTGATCTCTTATTTTAATATATTGGATAAACTAGAATGTAGTTAATAATTTTTCATATTTTAACTCTGGTTCTTATCAAAAAAATATATATATATATATTTTAACTCTGGTTGGTTTTAATGGGAGGATACGCTTGTGATGACAATTGAGGCTGGTCATTTCCAGATGGTTACAGTTTAACGGGAATGAGGGTTGATTTATGGAGCTAACAATGGCCTTTTTGTGAACCTAACTTTTTGTAGAATGTGTGTGTGTATGAGATATAAATTGAAAGGAGAAATTTTATGGGCACTAGTAGTTCGGTATCTGTAAATGAGTTTGTAAGACCAAAAAGAGAAGAAGAAGATTTTATTTGTTAATTAATCGATCCTGTTTAAGTTGCTTTTTGTTTTTTGCCCCTTACATGCACACTCCCACCAAACAAAAGAAATTCTGTGAGGTATGCCATCTCTATGAATTAAAGATTTGTTTTCCAAGATCTTGGGACGATAAAACAATAGGATATTATAGCTGCTTTGACATTGAGAACTGTTCATTCAGGATAAAGAGGATGATATTAAAGTTGGTGTTAAATCTACAGCCTTGAGGTTTGGGAATTCAACCAGGGAGTGGACTACTGGGTTTGGAATTGCATCCATAAGTAGTCTTTCTCTCAGTGGATTCAATGCTGATATAGGTATTTTCCTGCCTAATTTTTAAAATTTGCTAACATGTAATTTGCTTATGACAACCTTTTGTTTTGCTAATTTTTCTAAGTTACTTTTGAGCAGGGTGGCCATATTATGCCTTTCTCGCAGCAGCATCTGGACAATTGGCTTGGCAGATATGGACCGTTAATCTAACATGTCTTACAGATTGCAATAGGAAGTGAGTGATAGGTTTAAGTCATTTGGTTTCTGTGCTTGTCAATATATCTTAATATGCCTGTAATTTTGGATGCAAATAGAGAAAGTTACAAAACCTACCCTAGGATCTTAAACTTCCTCCAATGCCCGCGAACTGGAGATTCGTTTTGCCTAGTGTTTGTTTTCTTTTGTGCTTGGCTTTCATCTTGCAGTTTCTCATTTCTTTTTCCTCTTGTAACAGGTTTTTGTCCAACAAGTGGTTTGGTGCACTTATTTTCAGCGGGATTTTATTTGGAAGAGCCTTCTCATAAAGGTATTCTTAAATTCTTTATAGCTAAGCATGGACCCATAGAGAAGATTTTGCTTTATTCATTTTATGACGAGCTTATTACTAGTTGATAAGGACCTTACTGATGCTGGTATTAAATTTGGTTTCATATATGCTTCGTGAATTAGACATCCCAAACGGTTGAAACCAAAAACATTTTGTTTGAGTGCTTGTGATTGTTTTGGTAAACTTGAAGAGAATTAGAAACTGGTAAATAAGTTGTTCCATTTTCATTTCAATGGGAAAAGGGAAAGAGGGTAAACTAAATTAAGTGGGAGCTACTTAAGTTGGTTCCATTCTCATTTCGATCTGATTCCACCCAAGAACATAACTGAAATGACACCGACTATATCCATATACAACTAAGCAAAATTTCTATTAGCTTTCTCCAAGGGACGTCTAACAATCCGAAAATCATTTGTATCCCCTCATTTCCATTTAGCAACTTGCCCTGCAATGCTAGTAGTAAGTAAGAACGCATGCAAGCGATAGGCAAATCTAATACCAAAACTCTTGAGAAGTGTCATCCACCATATCCAAAAGGTAAAGAGAAGCATAACTACCTACCTGTTTCGAGTGCTCATGAATTGTAGCTAAATATTTTATTGTGACATTCCCATAAACTCTGACCTGGGAAATAAGTAATGATAAGAGAATATATAATTGGAGTCAATTCATGCAGGGATGGACCGAGGGGGGCTGGTGGGACAGTCGTCTCCCCTAAAAATTTCAAATTCTCATATTTCCTTTGTATTTTCTATTGATAATATGTTTTTGTTCCCTTAAAATTTTATAAGTCCACCCCTTCTAAAATTTTATAAATTCGTCCCCTAACATAAAATCTTGTGAATAAGCATAGGATTCCAATAGATTAGTTTCCGTTTCAGCTATATTGCCAATACTTTCCCCAACATTGTCGGCTATCATCCCAAAAACACCACCCATTCATCACCGTAATAGAGCTTGAAGGAAAGGCCCTTTATGACTAGATATAAATGCAGACAAAAATGCCTTTCCAACCTTTCTTGCATTGAAACAACCAGTCTATGTTGTTTCAAGCATGGCAACTTCAGCCCTTGGTTGACTACTAACTAGACCTTTTGGTACAATCACGGATTCAGCCTGTATTGCCCAAAATTGCGGTGTCATTGTGTTCGAAAATACAAATATAAATATATGAGGAATAAATTTTGGATTTAGTTTCTCCTGTTTGAACTGATAGATGGAAATGGAAGGAAAATAAGAGGGGAGCCACCAAAATGATAGTAAACTCATACAATATTTATACGGAGGGACTTGTAGATTCTATTTCTGAGCCATTAATATATTTCAGTTGTTTTTATGGCTGAAAATAATAAATGGGGAAGTCAAAATAAACATATTTATACTAAATGTCTATTTGTAAGGAAATATGTTAGAAAAAGGAAAATGATAATTGAACATATTGGTATTGAGCATATGTTAATTGGTCATTTGATTAAAGACATGAAATTTTCATTGTAAAAACAATTACAAAGAAGCTCTATTAATTTTGATATTCTTTATATTTTATTTGTGCACACATATTTGTATAGAGTTTCTTTATATTTTACAAAGGAACTCTATTAAATTCCATGTTTACTTTGCGTGATTCGTGTTACGAGAATCATTTTTAAAATGAAAAAGTTTTGACTTTTGCAGCATGATAAAATTGCCTATGTGGTAGTTTTCTAGCATCTTCTCGCATGTCTATTACTTGAGTTTATGGCCATGAAGAGATGGTTATGTTTTATTGTAGTTCTTGATAGGGAAACTAATATATAGAGAGAAGATTAAGCCATTGATATTCTGAAGGACAAGCAATTCCATTTAGAAAATTATATCCCTAAATGAAATGTTGGAGTGTTTAGAGGACTTTTGGTGAATCTTTGTGTGATCAATGAAGGTGTCACGCATTTTAATTTTCGTGTTTAGTTCAGACAATGATTGAAGGTATTTATTTTCGATATTTTTACTATTTTTGTACTATAAACAGCTTATTTACGTTTACTGTTTGAGGCAGTGGTGGAGAAAAGTGAGTTTTGCAAGAACTAGTTGAAGAGTTAAATATTAACAGAGGAGCGAGTGGCATACAAAAGGAGGAAGAATGAGAACCAAGAAGGGTCGCAATAATGAATGGATAAGTGGAAGAAACCAGTAGATGTGATGGAGCGTTTGATAACCACATAAAGATTTCTGATGGAGATACATCCCACATAAAGGGTTGAACTTGCAATTACATTTAGAAGGAAGTGGCAAAATGCAGTAAAACAAACTGATGGAGAGGTAGTCCTACATCCTCTAAGTGCCAAGTCGAGTCTACGAATAACACAGCTTAGAGTTCACTCTGGTAATATATCGAACAATGATTAATCTAAAAATTAGATAGCCGATAATAAATAATTTGATATTATTTACCCAAAAGGAAATTTAATCGATACACATTATTAATAATAAAAAATCATTTTGAGCCAAAATTGTGTTAGGAAGTTATATTATCAAATAAAAAATATATTTTATTTACTAAAATTGAAACTAAATAATAAAATATATTGTAAAATATTTAAAATCTTTTTCAAGGTAATTGTCCAAGTCAAACGATTCAATCAATTGGACCAAAAGCAGAAGAGAAAAAAAAATCCAACCTATTTGGTGCTTGATCCGACTTCTCATCCTTACAAGCAATAGCATCTAACATTGGAATCTATGGGTACTATTAATGTAATGAACATCAGAAAAAAGATATATTCAAAATTTCATCTGCATATTTGAATGGTCATATGTCTAACAAATAAAAATATTTAAAAATAAAATCAGAGATTACATTCTGCATCTTAGGTGATCTTCCTCACCCGGAATAAAGACAATGAGGACCATTCAAACGCCTAATAAGTTACAACCCTACCTGTTGCCCTTCTCTCGTCTCAACCCGTCCAAAATGGATGAAAAATTAAAATTAAGGGGGCAAAAAGTGCAGCAAAATTTTTGCATCAGAAACCAAAAGGCGACTTCCTTCTGCTACCGCCTTCCCCATATTGCTCGTTCCATTTCCTAAGCTCATTCATGCTTGCAGCATCATAAGCAACAGATGGACCCACCTGTTTTTTTACATAAACAGAACATCATCACTTCGACTCAATTGAGCATACCATATTCAGTGTTACTCGGACTGTGCCAGTGTCAAACAGAGATGTATACATCACGAGGATGTTCAATTTTTTAAGGTTTTTCCACAACTATAACACAGGATGTTGTTTATGGCTGTATGCCACACAAATACAAATATACTTCTGCATTTTTATATTAATAAACAAGGGTACTCTTACCTTGGCTTTGGACTGAATAAAGTCATCCAAATTAAGAGGCCTTAGTATTGCAGCTGCATCATTTTTTCCACCCTAGACAATCAAGTGAAAACTGTTAACACGAGAATCAAAGTGTACATTTTATCTTCCTACAATGTTCATTTTCCAAATGCTATGTACTTCCATATCTAAATTTACCAACAGAATACTAATGATCTCCCCTTAAAACATGGTGCATAAAAATAATAGTTCCTTGCAGAATAGTTTAAAAAATGCAGGAAGAAAATACAGCAGGTGCGTAGGAATTAACGTGAAAGATCAGACTATTAGCGTATAAGCATTACCATATTGATACAGAACTTAATGCACAAGAAAGTACCTTGTTTTCTTCTTCTAGAAGTTCTTGAACAGGCCTGTATGCTGCAGCTATACAGAGGTTCTGCACGTAAACTTACAGAGAAATGAGCCAGACAGTTCAACAATTCAAGAGGTACTACAAATCAGTACTTTACCTTCAAATCACTGCCAGAATACCCATCAGTTGCATTTGCAAGTTCTTCATATGAGAAATTAGGTCCTATATTCTCTTGTGCGAGAAATATTTTCAGTATCTTCATGCGGTTTCCAGCATCGGGTAAGTCGACATATATCCTAAAATGGCCACCCAGGATAGTTCATAAGCAATACTGGTGACTACCATAACTGTTAGCAAACACGTAAGAAGAACTTGCTTGCAGAACCTTGGGTGTTGGATTTACCTTCTTGGTAAGCGCCGAATAACAGCATCATCAAGATCAAATGGCCTATTTGTGGCACCAAGGATGAGGATTCTTTGGCTATCTTTTGACCTTAATCCATCCCAAGCTGCCATGAATTCATTTCTCATTCTCCTAGTTGCCTCATGCTCAAAACCACCGCCACGAGCACCCAGTAAACTATCAACCTATGATGCGAAAAGTCAATTCCAAAATTTAACCCCAAGCATCATGAAACATGAATCATTGAATTTCAGAAAAAGAGAATATTGTTCTCTTCCAAAAAGAAAAGGTATATATTATAGAAAGGATAATCTTCACTTAAAAATTTGATTCATCCAATCTTCCAGAAAGGGTAATGATAATTAAAAATGTTCATGATAGTTTAATAGAAAAAGTTCTTTAATTCCTCTAGAGGAACTCACCTCGTCAACAAAAATAATGACTGGGACCAGCTTGCTAGCAAAGGAGAAAAGGGCCTTGGTGAGTTTCTCAGCATCTCCAAACCACTGTGATGTGGAAGAAAGTAGTATAAAAAAATTCTAAAATTTTCATAACTAAACATAAACAAAACTATTCAACAGTAATCAGAGATAATTTTCTCTTTTTCTATCTTTATAGTCCTCGTGTTTCCTTGCTTTTTTTCTTTTGGCCAGGACGTATATATTCGCACAAAGATGGTTTTGATCAATTGGCATGCCACCATAGGTAGAATCATGACCCTAAACACTAACCGATCTTCAATTGTTGCTAAACTTTCAATCTAAATGTGCACTTATTTCAAATCTGAACAATAAAAAAATGAAGATACGTAAAAGAAAATATGCAAACAAATCAGAGAGGTTTAGACAAGATACAAGTGCTAATGCCTTCACAAACAAAATAGTACCACCTAGCATGAAAAACAAGAAATTGATTGAAATAAGTACATAAAATTCATCAGTTAGTTAATTCAGGCTGAGGAGGGATTTTCCATGATCATAAAATTGTTGACCTGGAAATGGAAACACCGTAAAAACAGGCGAGTACCAGACAACAAATGTGGGTCTACTCTTATAAAAAAAAAAACCAAATGTGGGTCTACAAAATGAAAAAGGTACTATAATCCCATTGATCTGATAACATTAAATTTTCCACATACCTTTGATGTAAGAACTGAACCAGTAATGCTGATAAAGTTTGCTCCTGCTTCTGTTGCCAGTGCCTTAGCAAGAAGGGTTTTCCCAGTTCCAGGAGGACCAAAAAGTAATATTCCTTTGCAAGGCTGAAAACAGATTCACATAGTTAAATACAGAAAACCGATTTCAATTAGCATCCATAAGAGTTTAAGGCCAAATACCCGCAACAGGTTTCCATGAGAAAAAAGTTCAGGCCTTCTCATTGGTAGAATGACAAGTTCATTCAATGCTTTCTTCACATCTTCAAGAGCACCTATATCATCAAATTTGACACCAATTTCACCAGGTGCTACCACAGCTGAAACAAAGTTGCTTTCATACTCATCCTTTGCAAGGTTCTGCAAAATTCACATTAAGTAAACTCAGTACTGACGATACATTAAAGTTTCAACATTTCCTTATAAACAACAGAAACATTATTCATGCCTTCAAGTTTTGTGCGGGCTTTCGATATAATGTTTCTTGCTCCTTCAATCTCAAAACTGCAATTTCAAGGCTTTACATGAAATGAAGAATAAGTAAAAATCAAGTGGTGAAATCCTATATATTGTTATGCATATATAGGGCATAGATACTCATGGTCACTAAACATGAACAAATACTTATCACCTTAGGGAGACATACCTTTCACGAGGCAAACATAATCTTCCGCCTTTTATGGAAGGAAATGTGCAAGATGATAAGTAATGGTTTTTAGCCCAACCAATAACCTTTTCAGCTTCTGCCAACAAAAATTAAGAGGTATCTTAGTACCAAATTAATTTTTGATAGAGCAATTAAATGATCTCATTCCCGGCAGACAGCAAAAGTGGTATTCCCAGTGATCTAGCACAACTTAACGGAATCAGCATATGGTTAAGTTTTCAGCTTCTAAACTTAATATGGCCATAGCAGATATAGTTAATGGCAGTTCTGATTGCAATCACAGGAGAAAAAGATGGTAGTCAATACCACCATGTGATTAACCTATCAAAATGGTTAAAATGAAACTGATTTTGTTTTACTGGTCAAATTGACTCGTTCCTATTGCACCAAAGATTATGTCTGTTCTTGACAATCAACTATGACATAGAGGAACATGAAGATTAAACATTACTTACATTTACTCTGAGAGGAGAAAAATTAAATTTACAACCATCTTATTAAAGTAAAACTAGCTGAAGATAGATTTATCTGAATGTGAATCCTTACTGCGTGTGGTCAGTATCACACCATCAGTATTTATATGTAATAGGTCCATGCATGACAGCTCATTTTCTTCAAGAACCTACAAGACAATTGTTTCAGCAATAAAATCCCCAGAACAAAATGTTACAATGATGTTTTTTTTTTTTTGATAGGAAAATGTTACAATGATGTTAACAGTAAGCCTAAGCTCCATCTGCACTCCACAACTGAAACCACTTTTTATCCCTTTAAACATAAAGTTGAGCTTGAAAGTTGCCAAATAATCAAATTGTATCTTAATGCATACCTTATGTAATTCATTTATATTGCTTCTTGATATCACAATTCTTCGATCTTCATCAAGTTGTTTCTTAAATGTTCCAAGGAGATCTTCCTCCTGGGAAGAGTAGCAAAAGATCAAAAGAAAGAAACATTTGGACAATTAGATCTAGCCTTAGGTCTCCTCCTTTCACTTGGAATTACCTTAGGAGGATGAATGCACAAAGCATTAGTAAAGAGTTTGTATATTTCATCATCAGTAGATCTCTTAGTTGCTTTAAGACCCTCCATAAGGCGCTTCAAAGGGAGAGGCTGTAAAATAGAAGAAAATCATATTAGTATTTCTTAGACAGAATAAGATTGAATTTAAAAGTAATGAAAATCCATTACATAAAAAGCACTTTAGAAACAGAAAACATGAAAAATAAAAGACCTCTTTTTTATTTAAATAGGAAAAAATTATAATCCATATGAAGACCTAGATATCCTCACCCCGCCCTCTAGGCATTGAGCAATTCAATCACCAAGGAAGTTTTCTTCAAGGGCTCAAAACTTTGAATATATGTGTGTGTGTGTGTGTGTGATAGCACTTGAATTACAAAGATATTAATGTTGCTGAGTTAACTGATTGAGATTGAAGGAGAAGAGTCATAACCATGAACCAACAAAATGAAAATGCATTAGAACAGCAAAAGTGGATCCCTCGAAAAATATTAATG